GGGCAGATATAAGCATAGCCATCACTCAAAAGATAAAGTATAATTTACCGTATCAATTTGAACGAAAATAACGAATGCATTCAAACATGAAACAAGGATTCATTTTGAACATGGGCATGCATTACAAGGGTCAGAATGGGTGATGGTGACGAGATAAATAAGTTTTGACAATAAAAATTACACTCACAAAACATGTGAAAGCAAGTCAGCATAGGTTTCTAATCATAATATGCAGAACAAGAGCTTTATCCACAAATTCCTGAATGTGCAGCATTTTATTTGAAAGCAATATTCCAATTGTTGTTGGAATTATATTTCTACTCAGTCCTGTTACATTGTTCTGTTGATCTGAGAATGCAAGAATGAATTCACTCATTTATCACCAAAATGACAATTAAGTTGCTGCTATTTGGTTAAGGGTTAGTCTTGTTTTTGTATAACCACTTAAAGAAAATAAAAACTAGGACGTTGGATTTTTTATCCTGAGATAGGATTTTTTAACAGTGACAGCCTGTAGTTTCCTTCTGCTTTATAGTTGAACAAGATGTATGTGAGTTGCTATATGATGTCAGGTTGCAATTGGTAGTATTTTTTCTTCTAACTTAAAAAAACCAAAAAACTAGAACCTCATTGCCATTTTATAGATTATGACCAACATGACCGCCAGCGGAGACGAAGGAGGAAAAACCGTCCCCGAGGCAGCTATGGCACTCATTCAGGCACAGAGACAGACACCAGTATTTCTAACTACCGGAGTGAGCGTGGCTCAGGAGGCCGTGGCGGAGGCCGCCAGGGCAGAGGGGCTGGTGCTTACTCTGGCCCCCGCGATGCTGACTCTGCACCGGTCCCCAGCGGATCTGTCTCAACAGCAGGCAGGAGCTCTGTCAGCCCAGGCGTGCAAACGGTCAATGGTGGCAGTGGTGATCGCTCGCTGAAGCAGGATGGCGGGCCCAAAGAGCAGCGCGAGGGGCGCCCGCCGCGGGACCCCAGGCCTCGAGGGAGCAACAACAACAGCTCTGCGACTGCGTCGGCCACTTCAGGGGCCGGAGGAAATTCCTCCCAGCTGGGGACGAAACAACCGGGGAGCCACCACAGCGGAAGCGATTCCGACTCAAAGCTAGCCAAGAACAAATTGAACAACTCCAAGACAAAAGAGCATATAGTGAATGGGGAATAGTTGGGAGGCAAAGGGGGAATTTTTTTTGGAGAAAGCATAATGTCTGCCTCTTGCGTATTTGCGTTTGAGATACTTGAACATATTTTGTGCGAAGGTGAGACTGAATGTGTGTGTATGTCTTCGTGTGGTGGATGCCTGCATGTTTGTCACGCTTTAATGTAGATACTGCCTGAAAGCATTATGTCCTGGAGTGACAAAAAAACTTTTGATTGATTAAAAATTGTTCTATGCTAAATTAATTCACTGTTGACATGACCCATTCTTTATGTTCATGCAAGTGTGCCAGATAAGTGTGTTTATCAGTATTTATTTTCTGGGTGAAATGTGTATTCTAGTGTTGATCTAGATGCATGACCTCTGCACTTTTGCTGAGATGACTTTTGATTGTTTGCATGTACAGGGAAGGCGAGGGTGGTAGAGGTTTTGCATGACTTTGGCTGAAGTACTGCTGGATTGTGAAGATTTTATGACTGTGTATAGTATTTCATATATAATGGATAGATGGATGTGCTCTGGGAGAGCCAAAGAGAGTTTGTTTTTTTCTACTGGTATTTAAAAAATACTGTAATATGTGATGAAAAGTTGGGAATGAAATAGTTAGTTTGATTGCTCCTTCCTGTAGTTGAGTGTCGCAGGACAGATAAAATTAGGTTGTGCATGAATGACTTGTAATAGTCAGTAACTTCTGTTTTTGACTTCCATGTTTGCCCAACTTTATGTCACTTTCTATTTTAAGGAAAATTATGGTAAAAACAAAGCCCTGGAACAAAGTTGATGCCAGTATTGCAGAAACAATCAGTCAAATGTTTTTTTCTGCTAATGTCCCATAGATAATTATATTCATCTTGGATTGAGCTGCATTTGCACAGCTCACTCCTCCTTTTTTCTACTTGTCTTGCATACTGGTTTAAAGATTCTCGGAGCATATTGGTGTCTTGTCCTTGAAGTGACAGCTTGGACTGAAAGTTTTCCACACACCTTTAGCAATCGGATCTATTTTTTTCGGTAGTCAAAACTTATGGCTGGATGAGTAAAATAAATAGACCATTTTGATGGTGTGAAAATTTGCTTTCCCTGCGATTGTCATTTGATTTACTTGTGTAGCTTTTGACCATGGCTGCCTACTAATGACAACATTGTCTACTGGAATAGTGTGTAATTTCTTAACATTAGCCTGGGGTGACTGGAAGGATAAAGTGCTTTTCCTCCACCCTCAGCCCATGCAATGTCTCTGTGGCTAGTAACCACTGCCTCTGTGTAGCTTGTGATAACAGCATTGAGCTTATTTGAAATGTGGGCAAATGTCTTGTGGCCAACTTTTGGTGCAAATGGCAAAGGCCAATGGGAGACTTCCATCTGGTCAGCTATTTTTAGTGCACCCGAGGGTTTGGGGGACCTGACTTTATTCAATATGTGAGGCATCGTGGTGAAATCATATGCTCGTCAAAATAATGAAATCAAAGAAACTGTCATTTTTCTGTCCATTTTGCAATTTTAATGGAATTGGGGTGGGGGGGGGCTCAACCCCTTTTTTATCCATAGAAAAAGACATTTCCATGTGAATTTTACTGAAGAACGTTGATTAAAGGCTCATCAAATGTAAATTTTCAGTTTCCAAGGACTGAAGCTTTGGAAGTCACCAAATTTTGTCGGTCACCAAATTTTGTCGGCTATTTTCCCGCTAATTTACCTCTGAAACCAGGCGACCCCGACCTCCTTCAATAGCAAATATCTTGACAATTTTTCAAGATAGACATGTATTTTTTCATTAAAAGATGGTCAAATGAACAAGTTTTAAGATGATACCAGTTACCTCAGATGCCCAAAAATTGATGAATGCCCGATTCCACCATGTCATGACACATTTTGAGTAGAAACCGTTTTGCTAAATGGTCATCTTCCACTTGGAGATGTAGACTTGGAAAAATTCAGTGCCTGAAATAAGTGCAAATTTTTATTCCTCAAATTTTGATGAAAAGTATGGATGATTGGGTATTTTGGTTTTACTTGAAATTTTCGTTCTGGTGTTCCCCACTATTTAGGTTTGGTGTTATGACCAGGGGTGGTAGTGTATGGTGAGACAGCCTGCCTATGCCCCATCGTAGTAGGAGGCACCACAAGGAAAGTATTGCATCTTAATGTACATTGTTGTAATTCAAGTAGGCCTATTGTGTAATTTTCTGTAGGAATGATGTCGCCAATCATAAGAATGTATGATACCACTCATCACCAATCCTAGGGTTGTAAGATGCCACTTAATTAGGTCTGGGGAAGCAGACATCTTTTTCCATTCTTTGTAACATGCTAAAGGCTGCACGCGTGTCAACGTCAACAGTAGTGCAATCTAAACATAGAACCCTCTGGTGCCCCAGCCCCACCCAACAAAAAAACAAAACAACAACAAACGAAAAACGGAGACAAGATACGGCAGCACAGTGATCTTGTTTCCTACCAAGATTGGTAGATTAAGACACATTACTGTCAACATCTGTAAGTATTGAAGTTAATCATGAACAGTGGATGATTGGGTTTTGGAGCATGTGGAGAGGGGGGGGGGTAGATCTAATTTTATTTTGCTTGATGATACTGAGAATAGCCCCAACAAGCAGCTGTCCTGAATGAGGGCTAGGAATATTTGATGGAGATGAAAAACAGTTCATATCCATATGTGACCTCGACACTGGACAAGTCCGGCTTATCCAAACCATTTTTGGATACCCTGTTATTATACTCTACATGGAGCAAGCGCTTGTGGTGGGAAAGAGACCTTTTCTTCCCTGCGTCTTTAACAATTGGGAATTGGCATTTACAGGAAAGTGATATTTAGTTAACTGTCATCCATTTTTCATGTACCTAGAGCCTGTTACAATTGTTGGAATGTTGCAGTCTTTTTGTAGTGTTTTATGCCTGAATGTTGAGTAGAAAAGATTCATCGGACCTTGGATGAGTGACAGTTAACTAACTTTATTCTGTCACATGGATGACGTTGTAAATTCCACATGATCGATCACCACCTGATCCACCCCTGGAAGTTGCAAGCATTTTTGTTGAATTTTAGGCTTGCCAGCAAGGGGGGTGAGATGAACTTGAGTTTCACTCTTTCGAAGACCATACATGTTCTTCTCTGTCTGTTCAAGTAACTGTTAATCTCCTCTTGCAGGAGGAAAATTTGTTTCTTTGATGTCTATTGTGCATTCTGATTTATTCTTTTTAATTCCCCGACTGCTGAAGGATATTATTAGCCGATTTGTGCAGTGGCTTTGAGCCCTGAGATTAGTGCAGTGTACCAAGTTCTGTGTCGTTGCTGGGTAGAGCAGCCACCAGTGGCTTATCAGAGTCTTTTTTTGGTATAAATTAGGTCTTTTCTAATTAATCTTGTCATGCATTTTGCAAAGGTCGGAAGTGCCACATTGCTTTCATTAAATACTCTGAAACTGGCATCATATTTAGAACCGTAATATTATAATATAGAGACGATTACAAGTTAAAACCAACTGATAATGAAAATGCTAATGATGGTAGAACTTTTTCTCTCTTTGCCCCAACTCCTTTCTGTGAATAATGCTGTGATTTAAGTGCACAGCAGTATCAATGGCTACTGTCTTGCTACAGTTGTCATGAACCAGCAATCTACTGGCTTCTTCTCTTCATTTGCCTGGGATATAGATCCGTGAGACCCCACTGTATTGAGGAGAGCAATGACGAAAACGTCGTTGAATGGGTAATTAAATCGAAACAAGCAGACCTATTTTGATAGTTCTTCATCTAATGAATGAATTTTCGGTATAAAAGACCTGTTTACTCCAATTTCCGAAAAGTAATTTGATGTCGAAGTCGCCGTAAAGGAATGTGCCCGAGCCGCTGTCACCGCTCACTGGCAGAGGGATTACCACCGCGAGCCGCTGAGAGCGGCTTGCCAGAGATAAAGAGTTAAAGTACAGTGACAAGTTAAATCAAGGCATATATATATATATATCAAGCTTTAGTGGTGTGCCTAAAGAAAGGTACAAAAAGTCGGATTTTAACCATGAAGCTTATAGGACTTGCAATGCTGAACACAGTGGTTTTTTTAATTTTTTAGATGTCTCAAGTGGTTTTTGAGATATATATATAGCACATTTTGTGAGGTAGGGTAAGAAAATCATTCTGTAGGAATGATGTCGCCAATCATAGGAATGTATGATACCACTCATCACCAATCCTAGGGTTGTAAGATGCCACTTAATTAGGTCTGGGGAAGCAGACATCTTTTTCCATTCTTTGTAACAGATGCTAAAGGCTGCACGTGTGTCAACGTCAACAGTAGTGCAATCTAAACAGAACCCTCTGGTCCCCCAGCCCCACCCTATTTTGAGAAAATTAGCTTTTAAGTTTAGAAACCTACAAACTTGGAAAAAAAACAAACGATTCAATTGTTTCTGATTCATGGAAAATTCATTTCCAATTTGGCAATCAATTTCATGATTAGAATTCAATGCTAAAACATAGCTGGGAAGAGAAAACATGCTTCGAGAATAGATTTTACCACCTTTTCAAAGCAGTTTTCATTTTCTTTTTAAAACATACCCTACACATACCCTACCCTCAAAATAATTCTAAATAATATATTTAGAAGTCAAATCAATGAAAACTCTTTTAACACATTGTAAAAAAATGGTGGAACTATCATTTTTTAAATTGAAACACATTTTGGTCAAAAAAGTTATTTTGTCATTATCACTCTGTAGCTCAAAATGGTCTGTGGCGACTTTTGGTATCTTTCTTTAGGCACACACTCATGTATATACTCGAACGTAGGTTGCTACTGATTCAGGTTTAAGGTGAAAACAAAAAAGAATTTGTTTATGCTATTTTTAAAATATATTTTTGTGTGATAATTCTTGGAGGAGAGGGGTGTCAAAGCATTTGTTCAAGATCACAGCCAATATGGCTACATTGTTTATTGGTGTAATTCCTCAACTGCAGAGATTGATTGGCCGTACATGCAGTCCAGGTGTTCAAAGCAGTTATACTGATGGAGTTTACTGAAATTTGTTATATGTGAGACATCATGGTGAAATCAGGCGCTCGTCAGAATAATGAAGTCTGAGAAATTTGCATTTTTCGTTCAGTTTGGATATTTTCCTTTTATTGGTGGGGTTGGGAGGCTCAACACCTCATATGTCCATACAAAAACACTTTTATGTGTAGACTGAAAAAAAACCCATTGATTAAGGGAGGAGGCTAACCAAAGTCAAGA